TTCCGTTAATATAGAAATCCAGAAATCCAACAGAGCCAAACACGGCACCAAAATCAGCACTTATTGATGTACCTACTGGGACTACATTTGTAGCAATACGATACCATTCCATTTGCCAACTTCTCTCGTATAAATGTGAATTATCACCAAATGCCTCTCCAATCGATTCAAACAACTTAGATGGACTCATGCGCTCAATGGTTCTTACCAAAAACTCGTCAAAAGTTTTTGCAGGTAATAATGGCTTAAAATTTACAGGGGCGGTGAATAGGAAATGTCTCAGAATAACTCGGGTTATGGGAGCGGAAAATTGTATTTGTTCATTAGAATCAACCGTGGAGAAGAGACACATTTTAATAAATTTCTTAACAACAGGATTTATGAAAGAAGATATCGCAACATTTCCACTGTTTTTCCGTTTTCACGAAATTGATTGCGCAACGTGGTCAAAATGAATCGACACAAACCAGGATGTCCACCAGTGAGATTAAAGATTGCCTTCTGAACAGGTTCATGAATTTTGAAATTCCGGCTACCCAAAGTAGCATGTCTCAGAATATAGCTCGTTATAAGGTGATGGACTTCTTCCCACGTTAGAAGTAGCGCATTCAAACCAAGTGTATGGCAAATTTCCACGGGTGTCACTTGAGGATCAAGTGACGGATGGTATGTGCTGATCAAAACTATCCGAATGTTTTGAAGATTTGATTCGCTTGACAAAAGATCTTTCATTATACCCCAAAAGAATGGAGCGCGATTGCCATAGATAACCTGTATCTCATCTATAAACACATAAGTATCCTTTTTGCATTCACTGATTTCTGTCTAGGTTCTACCAACTTTCTTCTTCCAGAAATTTTCAGAGGTTCTTATCGTAGATTTCTGTTCCACCATTTATGCCAGCAAGACTAATGTATATGCTATCATAATTGAGACTTTCAAAATAGTCTCGGAGCACCTGTCCCAAGTGTACTCTTGCCTGATGATGGAGGACTGCGCAAAAGGCTAATATGGTTATTTTCCACAAACTCAGTGATCCACTTCAACCTTTCAGATGAGATAACCGTAAGACTGTTCCGACCCTCTTCTGATTCATCAGGATCTTTAATATCAGATAAATTATAAAAAGAAAAAGTAAATTTTTTGAAAACAAACAAGATTACGAGTTAACATTACAAGCAATATATTATATACATGTTCGTTTCTCTTTTTTTCGGTTCCCACTTTCCTCGTCCCTTTCTTCTTTTCTTTTTGCTAATCAAATAAAGAATAAGACGACTGCAAATTCATTCAAAAGGCAAAACATCGGGAAACACTTACCAGTGGTGACAGGCGGTTGTATGATAATTCGGATGTTACTAGTGGATTCGTGAAAATATTCTCCAATAGTTTTGAATGGAGATAAAATTACACCTTGGTATTGTTCTTTGATATTTTCGGCGTATATTTTGGTTTCCAGATCTTCACCTTCAGTAGGAATATTCACACTCCATAGATCCATCTCGTCAGCGTCAATATTGGCAAAGGTATTTTCATTCATCTTTTTGATGAGTCTCTTGAGTATCCAACAAACATGCCTTTGTTGACATCAACCGGGAAAGAATTCTTAATGGCATCACCTAAATTGATGCAAAAATTCTGGAAACTTATTAAAAATTACTTATAAAATTATATTATTTGTAGATTTTAAATACCGGTATCAGATAACATTATATATATAAATTACGAATGTCCCAAAAATGTTTAAGAGTATTTAAAATAAAAGAAATGTTTCAGTTCACGGCACATAATCTGGCGTGTTTATAAATTTACGTGATTAGTGATGTTAACAATCTCAAACATATGTTTTGAAAAGACAAGTGACTTCGCAGGCGGAAAAATTAAAAACGTTCTTATCATATCACAGTCTGAAGGAAAATGCATCATACTAAAAATTTCGTGGGTGAATAATGTTTTTAACATTCTCGTATCATGCTTATAATAACGAAAAATCGTTGGTATGACCGAAGAAAAATGAGCCATGTGGATTAGAACACAAAGGGCCCACCAAAGCGTTCGTTCTAATTATACCGCAGTCTAGAGGAAAATATAGAATCAGAGGCAATGGCATATCAAAAATCTCTCGGTTACTCGCCAAATTAATGATGGTAATATGGGACCAGTCATAGATAGAATCTTACATATTCTGTGTAGTTTAAAAATTCGGTGGAGAACTTGTATTCCCAGAGTGAAAATAGGCTGTCCACGCTAAATAAGGACAATCGAATCGGTAGCTCACCTTTTAGTTTACAGAAATCTCCCAATTATAAGATTCATATCATTTCTTGCATTCTAACAGTACAATTTTGGAAGAAAAAAGATACAAAAACTAAACTAAATATAGTCAAAAATAATTATCTGAAAAAGTCAATCCAATCTCTAATTAGTTATGCTATTTAATTTCCTTCAAGATTTCTATTAATAAAAAATAATTAAGGACATTTCTAGAAAAATATTTCTTGAAACTTTATGCTTAAAAATTTTGATCAGAAGAAATTTTAGTTTTCTATTGATAATTTTTCTTTCAAGCCATAACATTCTGAAATTATTGTTTTATCTAATTAATAGTTAATTTCAAAACATTTTTTTGATTATTTTAAAGATAAAAAATAAACTTTTTTGAATTTTATCAAATTGAGATAAGATATTTCTTCTTTTTTTGTCTTTTTTTGAAATACCAATCTAACTTTTGATATATTTTTTAAATATTTTATATATTAAAATAAAATATCAAATCAAATTAAAGAAAATAACAATTTTAATTGTAATTATGTATTTAATTTTAATCAAATAACTAATTACATTATTAGTTTTAATATTATATATGAAAAAAATTTTTTATATCAAAATAATTTGAAGATTTTAAAGTAAATATAATATACATACATATAATTTTTAAATGTTATTTTAAAATACTTAAAAATATCATTAACTAAGCTTTAATTTGTTTTTTAAAATAATTGCTAATAAAATAATAAAATTATTTTTATTTTTTTCAAATACTTGATATAAATATAATAGTTAATTCAATTTTGATAATTCAATTTAATAATAATTAAATCAGTTCAAACTTATTTGAAATAATAATAATAATATAACAATATTATGTATATATAAAAATATTAAATTTTTTTATATATTTTATATAATTTTTAAACAATTGTTATATGATTTTCACAGATTTAAATAACAATATTAAAATTCAATTAATAAAATTCTAATGTAAAAAAAAAGCTAATATCATAGTTTTATAAATTTAAACAATATATATATATTTAATTATAAATTTTTAATATTATGTATATTAAAATTTAAATTTATATAACTAAATATAGCAATCTAATAAAATATAAGAATTAGATTTTAAAATATTAAAATAAGATCAATTTAGCATATTGCAAATGGTTAATTAAAATACAATATATTGTATTATATTATAACTTGTATTGTAACATATAAATATTTATAAATTATTAGTTAAATAAATAAATTAACAATATATATATATAATTTAATAAATAAAAATTTTAATTTTTTTAAAAATTATTGCATAATTTATAAGTACATATTTTTTTTTATCTAATGTTCTATTAATTTAATTTAATTTTTAAAAATATTTATAAACTTTTGTTCATTCTCTATAATATATCTTGTAAGTTTTTGTTAAATATTATTGTTTTATTAATTATAAGATTATCTTTTTGTTTCTTTAATCAATATACAGTATTTATAATTTCTATTTTTTTCAATCTGTTCGACATGTCATTTTACCTATCTTAATTATGTTTTTAACTTAACTTTCTCTGACAATATGTAGTTTTTATTTGTTAAAAAAATCTAAAAATATACAGTATTCATAATGCAATATACGTATACGTATTTCTTTGTTTTTATGATTGTCGAACACGAAAGTGTAACTGAAAAAAACCAATACGGCTAAATCGCTTGTTTACGGAATAATAGAATAAAGTCGTTTATTGGATTTGATAAAGGGTGGCGTTAGTATGCATTTTCTTTGTAAGAAAGAGTCTATCAAATCACATGACATGACACGTACCAAATCTACTGTAGCTTTCTTCACTGTTAGTCAAACAACGTACGGTGTGGCATTTGCAAAATGTTACATTTATGATATGCTTTGCCAAGATTTAATTGTTGTTCTCTTGGCTGAGCGGGAGAATTTTTATGTACCAAGTCACTCTCTATTAAAAGAGATTACCGAAAAAAATAATGATGACAACGATTTGGAATTGCCACGCATCTGTTCGCGTCATCATTTTTCACGATATGGCAAGTAAAATATAAAGGAATAAAGAATACTCATTATAATATTAATGTGAAATATGACGCACCCATAGAATTACGTAAAGTTTTTCCTTTCACATTAATCATTGCCGCCACAAAAACTCGCGGTTTCAAACATAGAAAATAAAACTCAAATATAGTAGTATATCATGTTCTTGCATTGGTATCTTAAATTTTTGATTCGAACAATATGCGAACAATATACGCATACCTATCTATGATTACAAAAACCGAAAAGTCCAAAGGACTTTTCTTATCTTGGCTGTTTAACAACACAAATAAATTAATGTAGCACCTGATATATCTTTTTCCAAATTCGGAGTTGAAAAAGCATACGTAGTTTGTATATGTCTTATACACCACTAAATTCACAGTGAAACGCATGCGAAATACTGCATCACATCCATACTAGGAAATAGTTAATTAATATTTTTATAAATTGAATTTTGGTGCGTTTTCAGTTTTTCATTCCTCCATCCTTTTTCCCACTCGCCTCCCTCCTCTCACTCGTTCTCCGATTTTGCCACACACATACACCAATCGAACCCGCTCGGCTCGTAGTCGCCGCACAAATCAATTCCATCCTTCAATTTCCCTCTTCAACTACCATCCAACCTCTCCGTATATATCCAAATACCTTTCAAGCAGACGTAGAAATGTCTTGGCCGTTTAAAACACTTAAAGTGCTTTATCCTTTCCAAGCATTATTTTCTCTTTTAGTGATTTCACTTCTTAGCGGCTGGGTTTCGATCACAAAATCCTATATCTACGACTACGAATCTTCTCTTAAAAAACCCATATCACTAGGTTTACCTGGAGATGCATACACGAGCTTCGTGCTTGCTTTCATTTCTTTCATAATCGCTGGGGTATTATGCATTCCCAATGTCATGCGTAAATTTGGCTACACTTTATACATATTTTTCGCGGACCTCCTATTGGCGTCTTTGTGGCTATCAAATGCAATTTATATTTCAGTAAAAGCAAATAGTGGATCGATTATTGATTCAGTGAATGTAATAACGGCAAATGTGGGTTCATCAGTGAACTCTTTCTCACTTGATCAGCAACAACAAGAAATGGCCTCCAACTTAGGACGCGCTATACTGTCGTTTGAATGGATAAACTTTGTTTTATGGTCCGCCACGACCATTATATTATATCACGTTCGTTCGCGTCGTTGGTTAAACAGAAACGATGATAACAGGCGAATCACCATCTGCAGTAGTTACCATGTTGATTTGAATAGTGATGATCAAGATGCAAAAATGCTAACCACCCCAAAGATAATTAAGAAAATTGATGACATGCTTAAAAATCCTCAATCAGTCAAACAATCAAAACGATCCGTTGGCTCGGATCGTCAACCGATTGCCGAATTCGACACCAAGATCGAGAAAACCACCACCACCACCACCACCTATACACTTACCAATGTTCCTTCTAATGCTCTTGAATCGGCTCCTCAAGTAAATGTGACACGCGATTACTATAGTATGGCATTAGATGAAATGAATGAACAAGGAAAATGATAATTTGATTTTTTTGTAATTTAGTGATGAGCTTTTCTTATTGTGTATACTGTATAGGAAATTTTTTTGCTAGTGTGTAATAATTCATCCTTGCGAGAATGCCTTTCATTTTTTATTATGTAATTTAGATTATATTACTGGTGGTAAAGGCGACAAACGTTAATGAGGATAGGTTTTCCTTATTGGGTATACGATATAGGGAAATTTCATGTTATAGTGTAATCGTGCGCGCAAAACTCACATACCTTCGTTTTTCGATTATGTATTTATTACTGTATTACCATATTTGCATATTAGATAAATATGAGCAGGTGAATGCTTTCAGGACAGATACATACATATATTAATCAAAGTGCCCCATAACTCTGAAACCTTTTTTCGTTATTTTGTTATGGCAGCAATAAAATCCGAACATGTCTCATTTTCATCAACTTTTACTTATAAATAAGTGTGCAAGTAGTTCATCACATATGCGATGTGATGTACTATTTGTATTCTCCTGCAATAACAACATAAATTCATTAACTCCAAATGCCCGATACATTACTATACAGTATGTAAAGTTAAATTTTAGGTTTTAACATAATTGAATTCTGGGTATAATTTATCCGGATCGCTGTATACTAATAAGCAGATTTTAGGAGTTTCTGTAATATTTAGGTATATTTAACATGCAATGGACTCGAACTTTGGAAAAACGAAAGTCTACTTATCATGAATCTTTGTACTTTCAGAAGCGCAAGATAACGGGAGCACTGATTATGTACAGAGATTAAAGTTGTCAAATGTTTTAATTTAAATGAAAAAAAAATTCATAACAGTAATTTTGTATTTCCTCACCACCTCCTATGTTTATTTAAGATATGGATATACGTATTTTAAAGTTTTGTCACAGATAAAATATCTCTGCGTAAATCCGTATTAACGTACGCAATACGTGAAAAAAATATTGATATAAAAAAACACATTGACAAAACTATTTACAATGCTGTCTCATTGAATTTTCATTAAACTTATTACTAGAATCGATTATTAATATTCCTTTGTTAATATGTCTAATATAAGTTAAATGCTTTATGAAAATACATTTACATAATATACATTAGTCCAAATTGGTTTATTCGGCTGCTGAATTATAGCCGATTAAATTCAAATTTATTAATAAAAGTTTATACTGAAGTTTTGTTGTTTGGTTCAATTTATACCATTCAGCACTTAAAAAAACCCAATAATTTGACAAAAAAAAATATAACATTTGGCAATAAAATCATTTGGTAATAAAATCATTTGGCAAAAAAATATTTCTAGTTAAAAAATATTTGGCAATAAAGTTATAACATTCTGTAATAAAAATTATAACATTTGGAATAAATTTTTATTATTTAATTATAAATTTGACAAAATTATTTAGCATTATATACTTCAGTAAAATCAAATTGTATATTTTCAATAAAAAAATTGCATTTATAATAATATTTGACAAAATTTTATTAATACTTGATAAATTTATTAAAAATATAAAAAATATAAAATTTGAAATAATTATTTGCTAATTATTCACCAATTAATTATTTGATAATTATTTGCATATTATTTACTAAATTTCTTCTCTATTTCTTTATTTAAATTTTCCTGTTTATAATTTCCATCTTTTTCTTTTGCATATTTTTGCCATAGTTCTTGTAATTTTAAAAAATTTTTTAATGCCTAATTTTATTTGCTTTGAAATGTTTTTTTGTGATGTTTGTACTTCTTGAAGTTCTTTAGAAATAGTTTTTACCAGAACCTTCATTTCAGCCCTTATCTCCTTTTTTTTTTATCTTTAGAAACAGTTTCTAGAGATTTAACTGTTTTTATTACTTTGCTTTTTTTAACATTTTTATCCTTTTCAACATTTTTACCCTTTTTGATACCTTTACTCTTTTCAACACTTTTATTCTTTTCTTTATCTTAATTCCTTGACTCTTTAATATATTTGACATATTTTCAAAATTTGAAATTATATTTAGTTTCAGCTTCAGGCACAGGTTTGGGTTAGTATTCAGATTCGAGCTAGTATTCAAGTTTAAGTTAGTATTTAGATTCAGGTTGATTTTGAAATTCAGATTAGTTTTGAGGTTCAGATATCACTTTTGTAGTTTTTATAATTACTATTGATTCTAATGCCAATTTATGTAGTTTTGGTTATTCATTTTTCTTTTTTAGATATTCAATATACTTCTTTTGCTAATTTGATTTATCAGAAAATATTCTATTTATATGTTCCAGTATAATTAATTGTGTATTCAAATTGGTATTTGCTTTTTCTAGTTCATTCACCTGTATATAACTGTTTATTTTTTAAATAAATTGACAAATTAGTAAAAGTAGGTTTTATGATTCAAAAATAATTTAAACTGTATATTTTTTTATTTTTTCTCAAGTTTAAGTCATAGACTTTGGTTTATGAGTCAATACTTATACAACTTTGGTTGCTAAGCTTGCAGGTAATGAATAAGATAGCCTTTTTCTGAGCAATTCAGCTGCCATTACAAGAATTGAACCTTTGATACTAGTGATTATTACATGTTCTTCTAATATAATAGATGAAAATGATTGTTAGGATTGTAAAGAATATTTTGAAGATTGTGAAAATAATGAATGTTGTGACTTTTTTCTATAAATATTTTTATCAAATGGTTTTTCTTATTGTTTAGACATTTTGGCAAAAATTAATTTTAATTAAATTAATAAAGATATTTATATAAAATTATATATATTTTTTTGTCATATAATTCAACATTTATTATATCATTATTTGCATTATTTTGTATTATTATAATGTTTTATTTAGTATTTTTATATTAAAAATTTGTTATTTGGTATTGTTATATTTAAATTCATTATATATATATTTTTTGTAGGTAAATATTATTTCTTTATTTAATTTGTATAGTGATAAATATACATTATAAAAGAAACAATATCTCTCATATGTAATAATACAATGAGTTAAATGCTAGTTTGCTTACAGTAATCACTAAACTAATATTGAAAAGAAATTTTAAAATAATATATCTTGTCGAGAGGCTCCAAGCAGCTATTATTACCTACTCGGTATTGGATGAAAGAAAATTAAAATAATCTGTTAAATTCATTATACTATATTTGTTATTTAGTCTTATTAAATAAGAATTTGTTATATTATATTAAAATTTGTGTATTATATTAAAATTCATTAACATTTGGCAATTCAAAGTTAACTGATGACTTTTGTTATTTTATGTTTAATATTTGTCAATTGAAATGGCAAGAAAGTATTCAATCTCAGTTTTATTTAGCAAAAGTTCAAAAAAAAATCTAAAAAAACAAAAGTTATTTGCAATTGTGATAAATACAATGGATTACTTGTTAATTTACAAATAAAGTTTTTGAATAGATATTAAAAAATAAAAACTAAAAACTCGGCAAATTAAGAATTTATTATTTGGCAAAGAACTAAGAATATTTCGCTAAATCAAATTATAGCTTTAAACAATAATCAACAAAATTCAATACTGAATGATATAAATGCTAAAAATGATGAATCTAAATCTGAAATTAATAATAAATTTAATGACAGTTCTGATGACATGTTTGAAAATTATTCAGCTTCTAATTACGAAGTTCCACCACATTCTAATGAATTTGCTAATAGCTATTTTATATGGATTTTATTATGGATTATGAACTTTAGAATAAGATTTAATTTGCTGGATACTGCAACAGAAGCATTTATAAAATTTATGAAGTTGATATTAATTAAAATCAGTGGCAGTAAATATGATTTTTTTTGTGGATCATTATACATGGCCAAAAAATTACTTGGATTATCAGATCAATTCATTAATTTTGTAGCATGTCAAAAATGTTACAAATTATATAAATAAGATAATATACTAAGTTTCTGAAAAAACAATTGACTATTAATAATGAAGCATGTTTATGTCGAATTTCTGAATTCAACAACTCAAAGAAAAATTTACAATACTTTATTATCTATACAGTTCAAATTATTAAATGGAAGTATTAACTAGCCAAAATTAATTTTTGCTTATGTAACTATTTGGTGGCAATTATTTCATATGTATTAAAATCCAGATTTTAAATCGAATCTTTGGTACTAGATAAATCAATCAAATACTAATAAATTGTTATGTGATATTTATGATGACAATATTTGAAAAACTTTTAAGAATGAAAATTCTAAATTTTTTTTTAGTAAAAAAACAGCTGATTTGCATTTAGAATTGGTATTAAATATTAATTGATTTCAACTATATGATAACAAAATACATAGTATTGGTATTATATAGTAGGGAACAAAAAAAATTGCCTAATTTTTCATGTAATTAAATTTAATATAATACATTCTTGTACTAACTTGATAATAATTTGCATTTTGTTTTAAGATCACAGGTACTTAAGGTTTTTTTTTCCAACTTCTCACATTCTATTATATTCCAACTTATAGCTGAAACATGCTGATGAAATGTTGGTTGCAAGAAAAAAGAGTCAACGTGAAGTTCTTTTGTATTATTGAAATAAAGGAATGCACAACATCCAAGAATTATATGCAATGACAAAGATTTCTATCAGAACAATCTGTTATAACATCAAAAAATTAGAAAAAACAGTTCTATTCTAAAGGACTGTAAAAAGATTATAGTGTGGAGTGAGTTTTTTGAGAGAGGAAAATCGAACTTGCATTGTTTCAAAGAGACAATAGATGCTAAGCTTTATGTTGATATTCTTTGTGAAAACATACCTGAGGTAAAGGAAATATTTGGTACTTAGTGGTGGTGGCAGCAGGACAATGATCTGAAGCACACGAGCCACCTCGCTAAGGCTTTTCTTCAAAAAAATGTGTCAGAAGTTATTAACTGGCTATCCAATAGTCCTGACTTGAACCTTATAGAGAACCTATAAGCTGTAATCAAAAGAAACGTAGAGAAACGTATGCCAAGTAATTTGGGTAAATTAGAAGAATATATGGTTGAAAAATGGGAAAAAATCCCCAACTAATTTTTAAAAGATTTGATAATGTCGATGGAGTGAAGGTGTCAGGAGGTAATCAAGAGAAATGGTGAAAGAATATTATATTAATTTTTTTACTAATAATAAAATAAGACTTAACCTATCTATACTGTAAATTACACATTGCCTGATGCAGTAGTTCACTTATTATCACGTAATTTGGGATGGCAATTTTTTTTGTTTACTACTGTATATGCAGCCATTGCCAATTTACTCTATAATATATGCTTTAAGCAAGAAAATATGTTGATTCTTGACATATTACCAGGTCCTAATAAACCAAGTTTATACAAAATAAACTACTATCTTACAGCAATTGTTGATAAATTGATGCAACTATGGCAAGAAATAATATTAGAATCAACTGCTAAAAATAAAAAAGAAAGAATAATTTGAATGACTTTAATTTTAGTTTTATGTGATATTTCTGCTGTGTGCAAAGTAAAAATGGATCTCTAAATTAAAGGCAAGAATATAATTCAAATGTTTCTCACTATTAAAAAGGTTTTTTTTTAAATATAAAGTTAAAAAAAAACCATATATAAAGGTTTTTTGCAATTTAGGTCACTTGATCCTTGAATTATGTTTCTATTAAAATAATAAATAAATAATTATGTCTCTTTTGAAGGGACATAATTGATCTATGAAATTTTATATACTAAATAATTTAGGGACCCATCTTTAGTACAAAGTATGTGAACATATTTCAATACTAGTATCT